CACACACACACACACACACACACACACACACACACACACACACACACGTATCCTTTTTTAAAAAGTGCTAGAAAAGCAGTAGGACTGGTTACCTCTTTCTCTGACCTCTTCAGGTGGTTGCATCTGTCTAGGAACTGATATCCTGCCATGACCCACTCCTTTTGTATCAGACTCTGAAATCCAATAATTGTCCTGAAATACGGATCCATCATCACTTGAACAAGAGAAGCTACCAGACAACTCAAGTCTCTTCCCTCCTCCTCTGTCAATAAAATGAAAGAAAATGATGACCAAGAGAAATTCTGACTGTAAGTTAGGTAATTCAACATTCTATACTTAAATTGTCTTTAAAAAAAAGTCTATGTAAGAAAATTTTAGTAGATTCTAGCAGCTCTCAAATATAATAAACTTTTTTACAATTCAACTTCTATTTTAATTGGAGACCCATATGAGCCAAAAGAAGTATTAAAGCAGACAAAGTACGGAAGAAGTATTAAGGCAAACAAATTACAATATTTTATTCTAACTCATTTCATTACACACTGAAGCATTAACCATGGAGCTTAGTAGGAAATGGACTTTCATTTGCCATTATTTGCAGACAATTGAGCATACTTTTTTCTTTTTAAAAAATTTATTCTTCTCTCATATATTATATCCCAACTGCTGTTTCCCCATCCTCTCCCTCCCCCTCTCAGAATCCCTGTTTCCCCCTGATGTCATCTACTCCTCTTTTCTTCCCTCCAGAAAAGGGCAGGCCTCCCAGGAATATCAAGCAAACATGGCACATCTATTTGCGATAAGACTAGGCACCTCCCCTCATACTAAGATTAGATGAGGCAACTCATCCAGGAGGGAAAACAAGGCACAACATTGCTCACAGTATTTACATCTCAATGGTTTGTGGTAGAATATCTTTCTAGAATATATTCTACTACTGTTTTGTCAAGAATATTCAATAAAACACAATCTTTCCAGAGTCACCTTACTTCACATGACAATGACTCAGAAGTGAACAATAGAATGGAATTGTCCCTATCATGTGAAAAAGTGGCAAGCATTTCCTTCCTGCCCTGTACAGCTATTTCCCTTTTCTTTTCTGAACTTTGTTTTTTGAGACAAGGTCTCAGTGTAACCCATACTGACCTCATATTTGCACTAAAGGCAAGGGTGGCAATGATCTTCCTATCGCTGAGTCCCAAGTGCCAATATCATAGTTGTACACCTGCCACTCAACCATTATCCTTTCAATGAGTCTAGAATTACCTTGATATCAAAGCTGAGCAAAATGATGAGAAAACTATCACCTGACAGCCTTTGCAAATACAGCTGTAATCGCCATTAATAAAATATTAATAAGACAAATTACTATGGAAATCCAGGAATGTTTTTCCTAGAATGCAGTATTCCTTTACCATTTGACAAAGAAACATCATATTAATAAAAGTCAATAATATTATCATCTCGAGGCAAACTAGCATCTGACATACCTCTGTATTTATTCCTAATTAAAAAAAAAAAAAACAAACTTAGTAAACCAGGAATTAAAGGGAACCTTGTCAAAGTCTTCTTCCAACCCCTATAGCTAATATAACATCATCCGTAATGGTAAAGAACTCAATGCTTTTCCTGTAAAATTAGGAATGAAACAAGGATGTCTTCTCTCAATACTTCTATAGTGCCCTGCAAAAGAGGCTTGAGTCAGAAAAGTTGGGCAAGAGAAAGGAAATAAAGAGCAACAGTATTAAAAAGGTTAAAGACTGTATTTGTCAACAATGGAATCCTGTATGTTAAAGATCAAGGATGAGGAACAGAGGGATGGCTCAGTAAAATGCCTGCCACATAGGGGTGAGGACTTGAGTTCAGATCCACAGCACCCTCATAAAAAGCTGAGTGGGTGCCTATAAGCCCAGTGCTGGGTCAGGAAAAACAGGTGGGTCTCTGGAGCTCAGTGCTAACCAGCCTAGCCAAAATCTATGAGCTCAAAGTTCAATGAAAGACACTAGATCAAAAAATGAGGTGGAAAGTGATTGACAATGACATTGAATGTTGATCTCCATCCTCTACACACATGAACATGTACATAATACACCACACATATACAATAATTTTTTAAGGAATCCATAAAATGGCTACTAAAATAAATGAGAAAGATCACAAGAACTTGATATATCAATGAGTATACAATAAGCTTGGAAATGCAGTTAAGAAAAGACTGTAACCACAGAAACATATATAATATCTTATATGTACTCAAGAGATTTAATACAATCAATGTAAACCTTGTACAATAAAATCTGTAACTACTGCTGACAAATGAAGGAAGACCAGAGTAAATGGGGAGACATTCATTTCACGACTTGGCAGGTTCTGTACAGATACATACAGATGGCACTCTCCCCAAACTGCTCTATGGATCAACATATTCATATAAACACTCCAATAGGCCTTTTTTTTTGAAGACTAGAAATTACACAGAAATACAAATAATCCAGAATATCCAGAATAGTTTCAAAGACAAAGCTGTGTAGTTAAATGTCTCAACTTTAAAGCATACTGAAAAACTTTGTCACTCAAGATAATGTGGTAGTAGCATAAAGAAATAAGCTCAATGGAGAAAATAGTTAAAAATAAACTTTTTCCATTTACACTCTGATTTTCATAAAAGCACCAAAGCAATCTAATGGAGGAATGAAAGTCTTTCAACAAATGATGCTGAAACAATTTAATAGCCACATACAAAAGAGATAATTCAACCTCTTACCTTTCTCTCCCTCTTCCTCTCTCTCTCTTACATACACACACACACACACACACACACATGCTTACACACACATGCACATACATGTACACACATTCATACACACGGGCACACAAACGGGCACACACACACACACGCACACATATTCATTCAAAATAGATCAAAGATCTAAATTCTAAATTCTAAAGCTATAAAAGTTGTAGAAAACAAAACACATGGAAATATCCCTGTCTGTGCCTTGAGTTGGACAAATAGTTCTTAAATATGATAGAAAAATATCCATAAAAATGGAGAAATCATACTTCAAAATTTTAAATTAGTGTTTCAAAAGGCAAAAGAATGGGCAGACAGGACATAGTTGGAGAAAATGCTCACAAATCATGTAGGATTACAAACAGAAATCTTAGAACTCAACAGAAAGATGAAACACAATAGAGAGATGTAAAGGAAAAGTACAGTGAACTACACCATTTCACCTGTGCCTGACTTGCTATAAGCTAGAGGACAGTGCTGATAAGGATGTGGAAGAGTCAGCATCCTCTTCCATGCTGAGAAGAAAAATGTGGTCCAGTTGTAACTAGTCTAACAGATGAAGATATTCTAAAGAGACAACTGTGTCACTAGATCTGGACTTGAAACAATGGACCCCAAAGAAATGGGAATTCCCCAGGAATCTCACACAGGGAAAAGGAAAAGGTACTAGTAAGATGAACGTGAAGAGAGCCCCTGTATAGATGTAGCCCATGGCAGTTCAGTGTCCAAGTGGGTTCCTTAGTAAGGGGAACAGGGACTGTCTCTGACATAAACTCAGTGGCTGGCTCTTTGATCACCTCCTCCTGATGGGGAACAGCCTTACCAAGCCACAGAAGGAGACAATGCAGACAGTCAGTCCTGATGAAACCTGATAGACTAGGGTCAGATGGAAGGGGAGGAGGACCTCCCCTATCAGTGGACTTGGGGAGGGGCATGGGAGAGAATGAGGGAGGGAGGATGAGATTTGGGGGACTAGGAAGGGGGGCTACAGCTGGGATACAAAGTGACTAAACTGTAATAAAAATAAATTGATAATTTTTTTAAAAAGATGAACATGAGGCAGTTGCTGGATATAAGTCTCTTTTTCCTACTTTCTACTTTTAATTTAACTCTTATTGACTAATTGAGGACAGGTGGCTGGACCTGACCTGGGACACAAATTGTGATCCCCAAGTCCAATAACACTGCCCCTTTAGAGCATAATTTGGCTGTTTCTTAGCAAGATGGACATGGACCTGCCACATAATTCAACAGCTTAAAACTATATCTCCCAAAACACATTTGTATGAATCTTCACAGCAGTACATTCTGTGATAGCCCACCATATGGAAACAACCTAATGTCCACCAACAGGTAAATGGATTAACTGATTTACAAACAATGGGATGTAATTTTTAAAAATCACTCATACATATGACATGAATGAACCTCATAAACACTTATGTTAAGTGAAAGAAGCCATAGTCAAAAGACCACATATTGTGTTATTCCAACTAAATGAACTATCTAGAAAAGGCATTCTACAAAGACAGAAAGTAGCTACTTTGGTGCTAAGACACAGGCAGATCTCTGTGAGTTCAAGACCAGCCTGGTCTACATTGCAAGTTCCAGGCCCAGCTGGGACTACATAAGGAGACTTTGTCTCAACTGCTCACAGACCCTCTTTAAAAAAAAAAAAAGACTCAGTGGGCAAAGGTCTTGCTGTATAACCCAATGATGTGAGTTCAGATCATGAAAACCCATGTAAAAGCCAGGTAGAGTAGCACAAGGATCTGTGACCCCTGTGCATCACTACTGGGAGATGAAGCAGAAGCAGGTGTTCAGAAGCCTGCAAGCCAGCTAGCCTAATATACACAGACATGAACAAGAGAGGTTCTGTCCAAGGTGGAAGGCAATGAGCAACGCTCAAGGTCGTCCTCTGACCTCCACACCAGTGACGCTGCATCTGTGTGACCACATCACAACCAAAACACCTCGGCTCTCTATTTACCAAGGCATCAGTATACCCGTGTGCATCATACTTCAACTAATGGTTTTAAACCATACTTTAAATGTGTTATTGAAACAGGCTCAGCACTCCCAAAGCCTTTTGTGGATAGAGAAGCCAGGGCTCATTCCTAGTAAAATGAGAGCACTCACTGATGAAGAGGAGAAAATCATTGGCTATTTCATTTGAATTCTTAATCTCAAACTATTTTCTTAGGGTCACCATTTAAAATGAGTAATAAAGCATTTATTTACGCCAAAGAAAATTTGACTGAATTAGAAAAATAGCAAGATTAGAGAGGATGCTTTGCCCAAATTAGCATCAAGTATCAGCAAGTTACGGGATGGGACCAGGCTGGACACAGTCAAGAGTCTGCAGCATGCCTTGTAGTACTGCAGCTAAAATGGATGCTTATGCTATTGTGCTAATGTGAACTTATGCTAATGTGAACCGTCAACAGCCACAATTTTCTGTCAAGGTATGAGGCATTCTCGGGAATTATTTTAATTACCTTGCAGGACTACAGAGAGACGCTGGCTTTCAAGTATGTACACAAGTTCTGCTGCGTGTTTAAGGAAAGCCCTAAAAAGAAAGGAAAAAAACACTGTTAAATCTCAAACTTCTACTATAAATACATGCCTTTACCTGCTGAGACATCTTGTCTGCCTGAATAAATATATTTTAAAATCAAGCAAAACTCATCACTCACTATATATACACATACTTTAAACTTTTATAAATTTCTCTGTATTAACAGGAATGATTCTTTAGGGAATAATATCAGGGAAATCCATCAACCCTATATTAAAAAAGAGGCTGTTTACATGACGTTCAGGAAATAAAACTTTTGAGGTGACAATGGTAGTGGCTGTCACGATGGTAGAGGTGAGATGGTAGAGGGCAGGGACGAGGAGAGGACTGGGGAAGGCTGACTATGGTAGGGCGGGCACTAATGAAATCTAGAGGTTACAGCACTGCTGATTGTCAGGTTTGGATGCTGCCCTCCAGTTAGATGAGAAGTTAGCCTGAGGGATGGTAGGTGACAGGCACGTGACTCTCTGTACTATTCTTCTACTTCATGTGAGCCTATAATTATTTCAAAATAAAAAGTTAAAAAAGACAAGCCAACAAACCTGACATATTCTAACCACCGAGTACTTTCCAGTGAAGACAACCATTTCTCTTCCGTTTCTTCAAAAGGCTCTGTAATAAACACACAATGCAGTTAAGCTCGTTATGCTTAGTTTTACATAACCAACATCAGAATGAAGCTATTAACAATTAGCTTTGAGGTAGCGGCACACATTTTTACTTCAGCACTTAGGAAGACATAAAGACATATCATGATTCTTTTTTTTTTTTTTTTTTAAAGACAGTGTTTCGCCATGAGCCCAGCCTGGACTCAAAACTCTAGGTCCTCTTGCTTCACACTCTCAGATGCTGAGGTAACAGACATGGGCCACTGCACCAATGTAACATGTTACAGTTCTATAACAAAGCAGAAGAAAACATTCCCCTGGGTCCTGTCTTCTACCTTCTGGCCTTTTCAAGGAAATCCTGGCAAGTCCAGCTAACTCTGTGTCCTGCAGGCTAGTGACTCCTGGCTCTCCAGAAACTGATGCCTAGACTAGTACCCACTTCACAGCACTGCCTCTCCAGGTCCCACTTCTCTTCACCATCACAGCTGCTAGTGTCACCTCTGTGTGCTTGTACCCCTGGAATCAACCACTGCCCTGCCCAGGGTATATATAACCATTCAAGGCTGCACCCTCACCAAGATCTCCTATCTTAACAATGCCTAGTCATCATCCAAGACCTGCCACTTCTCCCTTGCCCAGGAGACACGAGGTTTCTTTGAAATAGGATTCACTCTGCTTCAAAGATGCTTTCATGAGACATCCTTCCCTAACCAACCTGAGTCTACTTAGCTAGAACTCTAAGGTTACACTTTCAACACTTGCTGAGCATAGCCACTAATCTTGAAATCTAATCTTATGCACTGAAATCTCAGTAATGTCAATCTGCTGAGCAAATGCTCCTTTAAAGTAGTCTCTATCTCTCATGATTTGGGGGAAATTTAACAGGTTTGGGGTTTTTTCTCCTCAAAACCGAAATAGGGTTAGACTTCATTTTCTAAAGGTTGAGTCTCTCCTTAGATGAATCTTGCAAATTTTTAAGGAATATTATTTTTCCTGACTGTTCCCACACAATTTTTTATTCCCATTCATTAAATACAAGCACAAAATAAAAATGTCATTACCATTTACACACAGTTGCTTAAGTTTTACAAATGCCGATTGTATTTCTTGAATATTGGGCAAGGTTTTATCCAAATCTGACTTGTAAACATCACTTCTCTGCGGATGACTTTTAGTTATGGCATTGCAAATCCTAGTAAAGACAAAATCCTTTAGTATCTGTTCATCCATTTCTTCAACACTTAACATTATCATTCAAAAGTTCTTATACTTCTTGGGATAACTACACAGGAGTATTATCCTGTGGGGCCTAGTGAGGACCACAGGCAGCAATCAAACTGCCATCACATATAAATCAAATGGAAAAGAAAGAATGTCTAACAGTAAGGCCTGAACCCCATGTGAAGTACCTCACAACTGAGAGGTGAAGTAGGGCCAAGTCAATGGGGTGGAGAGTGTTCATGGAGCAGCATGAAGAAGGTGACCCGGAGGGAAGAACCCTGCTAAAACTCTCTGTCAGGAGAGTGAAAAGACCAGGTAATTTTCAGATGGCTGGAGCCCATGAAATGTGAAGAAAAGAACAGCACCAATAGCACACTTGGGATGAAGCTGAGGAGGCAATATGTGGGTTTATAAGATCTCTGAAACACCAAGTGTCAAAATCATGGGGTGTTACAGATGGAGAAAGGGAAGGAAAAGAAAGGCATCTGCCTGAGAGGCATGGTGGCCATATCCTTGAGTTCAGTTTCAGACATAAAGTTCAAAGTGCCTTGAAGATGTCCACATGGAAGACGTCAAGCTAGCAATGTGTTGGTTACTAAAGCCACAGTCCTTAGTGACCTTCTGTAGAAAGAACTACAGATCAGAAGGAGCAAGAGGCCTTAGAGCCCAGATGATGCTGAGAGAGAATAGGATAGGCTGTGGAGGGCACAGTGCCAGCAGGGAACAAGGGCAGCAGTTGAGGACCTGGGGCACTAAGAGTTGGCCAGCTGTAAACCTGCAGCTCTGAGCATACCCAAGAGAAGCTTCCTACTAGTGATAGGGAGGTTACAGCTGACTTTAGCAGACATTACCAAACAACGGGTGTGTGAAGACCCTCTAAAACAATTTTCTAAGCTATTCTGACTTCATAAGCCTAAATAAGACACATGAAATGAAAGCAGTTTGATTTATCCTGACGTGTCTCAAGTGGAAATCACTGTCCTTTCAATGTTAAAGACACTCGTCTTTATTGTGTTTTATCAAAGATAATTTTACTATACTTACTCTTTTCAAAATGGTAATCCTTGTATATAGTGTGTGGTGGTGCAAACTATTTCCAGTTAGTAAGGAATTTACTGCTCTTGTTTATGATACCAAGTCCACTGGCCAACACACTTTCTCACTTACCTCTGGTCGATTTTCCTCTGTTGCAGCACATCTTTGATGAGGGCCATCCTCACAAGAGCACTGCCGTTAGAGTGGCTCCAGCACCAGAACTAGGAGACAGGCAGAAATCCTCACTTAGCTGGGTACAAACCGTGGACAGCAGCATCAATGATAGCCAACAGAAGTCACTTACTGGCATTCTTTTTCCAACAAAAGAATGGGAAAAGATCTTCAGGTCTTGGTCTGCTAGTGAACTTGGCACGACAAAGTATTCTGGAAGGCTAGATGGGAGAGAAACAGGTCACACATGAGCCCTGTGCTCACCTATGTTCACTGCTGCCATTCACGATAGCTCATCAGGGAAGAGGGAGCCTCAGTTACGAAAATGCCCCAACAGACTGGCATGTAGGCAACCCTGTGGGGGCATTTTCGTGATCGATGATTGATGGAAGACCCAGCCAGCTCAGAGTGGATGCTCCTGCTCCTGGGATGGTAGTCCTGGGTGCTATAAGAAAACAGGCTGGGAAAACCACGAGGAGCAAGCCAGCAGGCCACATTCATCCATGGCCTCTGCCTCCATTTCTGCCTTCAGGTTTCTGCTCTGTTTGAGATTCTTCCCTGACTTCTTTCAGTGATGAACATTGATGTGGAAGTGTAAGCAAATAAAACCTTTCTTCCCAAGTTGCTTATGGTCAAGGAGTTTTATCACAACAATAGCAACCCAATAGTGTCCATCAAATGAAAATATGGTCCATATGCACGGTGGAATTTTATTCAGCAGTAAAGGGAAATGAAACCATGACATTTGCAGAAAAATGGATGGAGCAGGAGTCATTTGGTAAAGTGATACAAGGCAGACTTAAAAAGACAAATACTACATTTTCTTTCTTATGTCAAACCTACATTTAAATTTATGAGGGGGGTATGTTTGTGAAGATCATGAAACTAGGAAGGAGACCATGAGAGGGGACAAAAGTTGATGGAGAAGAGTATGATAGAAAGCAGATAGACGGTACAATTAGGATATAATCAACAGTAACCAGTAATGAAATAAATGATCCAGGCAGTCATCCTAAGTGAAAACTACTTTGGGACACTGAAACCATGATATACGAAATAGAACTTTACACTAGGCAGAGTAAGCAGACAGCCCTTGGGCCTGTCAGTCAGTCAGCACTGCAAGTACATACACAGAGATAGAGAGAACTAGCCAGAGAGGGAGAAAGAGAGAAAACGCACATAGGAAGCAAGCTGGAGACTAGATGGGATGCGCAGGGAAAGGATTCTTGCAAAAACCCTGAGGCTGGATTCAATTACTCCTTAGAATGCAGAAGAACATGTTAAAGAACACCACAGAATAATACTACAATGTGGGAAATTCCACAAAACAACCCAGTTTTGTCAGTAAATATGTAAGTATAATAGAGGTAGTACGAGAACATTGTATGTTAAAGGCCTATGAGACATGTCACTCAAATTCAGTGTAAAACTTCCTTGAATCTTAAATCAACTTTAAAAGACAGTTGTAAGAAAACTGCAGACAAATACTAGATTACTGATGATAATAAAGAATTACTGTCAACATCTTTTAAACACTATGGATATGGATGGTGTGCTTATATTACAAAGTCCTTAACTTTAAAATAAAATAACCTTTAAATCCTATAATTTAAAACAGGTATTAATCATAACTTACAAGTTTATCAATGGAAGTAGAGTTGAGTTCTTCTTCACAGAAGCCTTTTCCAGGTGAGTGCGTGTGTGTGTGTGTGTGTGTGTGTGTGTGTGTGTGTGTGTACCTGCATACATGTGTGCATGTGTTAATATAAGACTTACCAAGTAGATATCATGTAACCCTCGTTGATAGAGCAAACTCTCCACCCAGAAGCGCCTGTCCTCTTGATCTCTCTGTCCCAATCTGAGTAAGTTTCAAACAGCGGTGTTTTCTGGCTGCTGCTACTGCCAACTCCACTCCATACTCCTCCACCTCCTGAGGATACTCCATTAACTTTGTTGGCTGCAGGAAAAGCAATATTATTAATTTTGTTAAACTAGTTTCTTCTCAGCCAGCATTTGCTTGCTCTGTCTCCTGTCACATGCATGCCCTGATGTGTGACCTTCTGTCTTATCTTTCATGTCTCTCCAAAATCTTTGCATCAAAATTCAACCTGACCTTTACCCAGCTCATTCCTACTGTATAGACACCTTTCATGTCTCTGTTCTTGTACTGGCTTTATCTCCTCTGTGCTTGCAGGCCAGCAGGCAACTTGATTTTGAAGACTTCCATCCGATCCCCCTGGTTGCTAATGCTGCTGTGCCACACATTGTTCGTTCTTTTCCCAGGCACTTCCTTATATAACGACCTGTGCCTGCTGCCCATACTTTGTCTCCATTTACCACCCTTATTTTTCAATTATCTCCCATTCCTACCAATTTATGAAAATGAGTTCTGAGCCTCAATTATCTCACTCCTCCAAACTGAGGATTAAGCCTGCCATCTGCATATTTTCTCCACACTGGAGCAGGGAGTGCATGGATTTACCCAACAGCTTTCAAGTCCTCAAAGTACTTTATTTTTCTAACATCATGCTCTCACCTGCTCACTAAACAACTCTTGGCTTTGTCTAGCTACTCAACTTAAGAAGCTGACAGAGCTGCTTGTGTGTCACTAGAAGCTACAGCCCTATCTTACATGATGTGTGTGAAGGAGGGTCTAGACGTCACTTCTTGGAAAGGAGTGTTTCCAAAGATAGGAGCATGCCTAACCTGAGAGTGCCTAAAAAAACGGCAGGAGAGGGGCTGTGCTAGCCAGTCTGATGTCCTTAGGGTGACGGCTCAAACTTCTTGGTCCAGTGTCTTACTGACAGGTGTAAGTGGCAGTTCCTAGGTTGGCATTCCTGACTAGATGCTTTTTTCACACAAAATGTTTCTGTGATATTGGCTTCTCGTCCCAACCTTTTAATGATGCGCCTTTACCAAAAGAATCTAATCTAAATGGCTTCTTTGGGCCATAGAGATCCCTCATGTAACTGTTTGTTTACCATTGTTTCCAACTTTCTTTCTTTTCTGTAGCCATGTAAAATGCCTAAATATCACATGGACATGCTACAACCCATCCTCAGTGATTAATTCTTAACTCCTGGCACAACACTGATATTTTTGGAGAACTTATGATGAGCTAAGTCTCCAGAACAAAAAAGTAAGTTTTTTACCTATTATTCTGAATGCTATAGCAAGACAGTAGGGGGTAGGTGCGAAATTATGAGCACTGAATAACTATGTGCAATAAAGATGCAGAGAAAGGTGGCCAAGAAAGCTATCGTGACTTGACAATATCTGAGCAGAGTTCTGAAAAAAATGTCAAAAGTTGCTAGACTTTTTTTTAAGGAGGAGATGGGCATGCTGTGCAGTGAATGGGACAATGATAAAGCTTCAAGGAATCCACACAGTTAGAGCAGGAAAGCCAGGCATGGTGGAAGAGCAGCTATAGATTACACAAGGCCTAAACTTTAGATCTACGCTACTTAGGAATGGAACCACTTGCCAACCAGTGTCCATTTAAATTAAACTAAAACAAAAGTTAAATAAAATAACTAATGTCAGTCCTTCAGGTCCACTAAGGACATTTCAAGTGCTTCCCAGCTTCTGGGTGCCCAAAGACAGTGCAGAAGAAAGGATACTCCATCTCTGGGCTAGTCTAGCTCACCAAGGCTCTGACATGCTGTGTTTGGAAAGATACTCCATCTCTGGGCTAGTCTAGCTCACCAAGGCTCTGACGTGCTGTGTGTTTGGAAGCCTGAATTTTACCCCTCTACTTTACACTTAGCTAGTAAGTCTGATTTTTAACAGAAATTGACAAAAATTATAATGCTAATTAGCCTGAATGCCCACTTCCCTCTCCACTTCAGTACTTTCTCTGTGGAACATAATACCTAGGAAGTATGCTGGCTGACTCACAGGACTTTCAGGTGCCTGATCTATAAAGCTAGTCATCATATTACTAAATGTAAAGGAAAAAAGTCCGTATGATCAGTCCTTGCTTTTGGTAAGACTCATTTAAAAAAAAAAAAATCTTTCCCAACTTGATAAAGTGTATTTCTCTAGAACCGGCAGCAAACAGCATAAACATTAAAACCAAGGACAGAAAGGATGCCTTCCAGCCAGCACTGCTGTCCTCAGCACTGTACCACAGACTTTGGCTACTTAACAGGACAGCCATCACAAAACAGATAAAGAACACACTCAAGGCGGGGAGAGAGGATTTCAGCAGCAAATCCCCAGCTGAGTTCATGTTGAGTTTTTTAATTTCTGAAACCACATTGAGAATGCTCTACAATTTATGAATTATTTCTCTAGATCTATTTATGAATAGAGAGGTTTTCTGACATAAATTAAGAGCTCTTTGGGGTCCTATGCATGTGTACTATTTTTTAGGTTTCTCTCGTTCATTTCTCAACAGCTGGGACTACACTGCCATTAGCTCTGTGTATCCTTTGGAGAGAGTTCATTTTGCGGTAGGTAGTAAGTAAGTAATCCAACTGCAAATTCTAGTGCTTTCTAAGAAGCCCAGAGGCTTGCTCTGTCCATGCACCACTCAAAGGACTGCAGCAGCCAGCTGATCCAAGGAAGTCCTCTTAGGAGCCCTAAAGTTCCTGATGGCTACCTGAGATTTTATAACATAGCTCTTCAATAGACTAAATGAACCTAGGACCAGGCATTCTTGATCTTGGCATTTTCTATGGTATTTTAGAAATCTAGCCCTAGAATGATGACATTATTTTAGAACTTGTATGTAATTGACCCCACTGGCACTCAGAATGGACTCATGTAACAAGATAGTAAAAATGGTCAATATATGAAAAGAAAGCCTACCACCGTGATGGTGCAGTGGGAATTAAGACATCATAAAGAAGGGAGAAGAAGGTAACCTCAAAATACTGAGGTTGTTCTTAGCAGGAGTCTCTGTCCCTGAGAGCCTGTGATGGAACCAACAAATCTCTGCTTCTATATGCTTCTCCAGGGATTCTGCTGCTTTGGCACCAGCATTCAAGAGACAAGATTTATAGTCACACTGAGAACTCTAGAAGTTCCCCAGCAGCCAAATGACAATTCCTACACTGTTTCAAATAGTTGCATACTACATATTTTTATCAAATAAGTATTTGAAACAAATTCTAAAATACTAAGACCTATATTATTAAACAGGATATTTAATAAGTTCACTAAAATGTCTGTGTTTTAATGGGGCAGCTCTGGATTACAGAAGCAGTTTTAGCTGTCTGTTGCAAGGGAAAACTGCTGACATCAAGCCTGCACCTAACTTTCTGAGAGTTTCAAGCCTTCCAGTCCAGAAGCAATATTCTGACATCTAGCCAGCTTTATAACAAAGGTGAATCTGCACTTTTCTAGAACACTGTCTGCCTAATAATATCTGGATGATGACCGCAGAGCCCTCACCATCTTTGAAAATAAGAGGAAGAGGGTGACTGCATTCTTCTCTGTGCTTGCCTGCTGCAGCGTTTGTGCGAGTAACTGTTCTGAGGCCTGGGGTACTGCATGCTGCGGAGGACCTCAGGATGCTCACTGAAGAGTGTGGATGGCTACTGATCCTTTCAGAAATGGTTCTTACTCATCTCATATGATGCTGGACACAAGAGAAAACTTCACACTGCTTAAGACAGTAGGAGAGTCTTTTCCAGACAACTGCAGGGACAATCTCCAACTTCAGGCCCTATTTGTGGAAACACCTTTGTCACCTACCTGCCTGAAAAAGGGGCTTCTTTAATCCAGCCAATGAGTCAAGGTGCCATCCAGAGGTTCAAGAGAGGGTAACTGAACATCTTTCACTCACAAATTAGTGAACTGTGACTGCAGTGTATGAAAATTTCAGGCTTCCTTTGATCTTAGGGATGCAGTTTATGCTTCTGTAACAGCATGGAAGGATATTAAAGGATGTTACCCTATGAGGAAACTGAGTAAAACTTTGGACAGAACTATGATTATGAAGGACTTGCTGAAGGAGGAGTTAGAAGGATGTACTCCTGAATATTTTAAGTAATTATTAATCATCCAATTGCAATAACCAGTTTTAAGAAAATAAGAGGTACTTCAAGTTTTCTAGATTAGAGATGCCCATAAGAAATAAAGGAGGTAGGATTCAAAAAGTAACTTATGCAGGCATCAGGTCACCAACTGTACAGATAACTGTACTTGGACAACCCAAGCCATCATGTTTTTGCAAAATCATAACCTAACCACCCAATCATTCTTATCAGAATAAAGCCGCATAAAGAACTGGGCTGTGCCACAAGCAAACTGAAGCAGGCTTCCAAGACTGACTCCGGAAATAGGACATCGCACTAATGAGCTTGGTGATCACTGCTCTGTGGCTGATACCCAACATTATGCTTGGTTTTTAGATAGGAAGTGAATTTACATAAAAATATCAACTTCAAAAATAACTGTGTTGCTCAAGCCTAAAAATAAAAATTACTATACATATGGCTAGGGAAAATTAAGTCACAAATACTTGTAGTATCCAGTTTCTATAAAGTACAAAATGAAAGCTGTTCTGAGACATTATTTTCATGTATCATCTCTAGAGTGTTGACAACTACCTTTCACAGTAATGAATATGCACTAAAGCATCTGTGTCCAAAGCACTAACACCAAACTTTAATGCAATGGTACCACAGTAGAAGTGGAGTACCCTTATATCACAAGATATTTAAATTACTGCATTGTGTTGTAAGGTAAGAAATAAAAAGTTCAGTACACTAATAATCTATAAGCCCTAGATCAGTGATCAACCCTCCTAATGGTGAGACCCTGTAAAAGTTCTTCATGTGCTGGTGACCAACCATAAAACTATTTTTTTGTTGCTACTTCATAACTGTAATTTTGCTAGTGTTATAAGTGTAAATATTTTCGGAGGTAGAGTTTTGCCAAAGAGGTGACCCTCTGAGAAGTGCTTCCCTGGACCATGCTGGGGTGAATGATCTTTAGTTGGTTTTTCCTCCCTGAACAGTGGTGGAATGTGTGTTTCAGGCAGCAGCCACTGTGCAGCCACTCACCCCCCAGGAGGCTAACAGGAGACACAGGGTCTGTGTGTGTGGAACCACGTTATCTAGATAGAGTACACTATTTAAAATAGAATTACATGATCACATCTCAATGTTCTTCTTGATGATGTCATAGCTAACATAGGTATGTGGACAAAACTATTTAGTTACCACAAAATTGCCTAATATATATATATATTTGACAAATGCTCATCTTCCTTCCACTGCTCTTATTCAAAACAGAAAGTTGGTATTTTGGAAATCTTAGGAAAGTTCTCTAAAAGGTTTTAACATTTTAGCATTGATATAAAATCATATTTTGCCAGAAATTTTGTGATTTTTCAACTATCTTTTGGGTGGGTTTTTTTGCCAGTTTTAAAATAAAAATATCAGGAGATATACTGATCATAAAATACAGACGAGTGACTACATGTGAAATAGGTGCTTTGAGCCCTACAAACTAGTGCTTATGGCTGTCTGGTCACGTCAGGAAGCACTGACAAAAAGTGGCTCTGAGTGCACGGTGTTTATTTCTCAGCAGCTACCAAGCTAATAATCCTATACTTGTTAAAACTCCAACAAACATGAATAAAATGGACACATGTAAAGTTAGTCACAATACTTAGTATTTTCATATTTACCTGAATTGTGGTATTTTTTCCCAACATATTCAAATGCAAAGAGTAGCTGAAGGTCTGTTGGCTGGGAATAATGAGCTATTGCAAGGCATACCTAGGAAAAATTCTGCATTTAGAATTTGACTTTAACACACTTAGTTAAATGAAATGCACAATAAGGCCTTGGTCACTGAGAGAGCCATCCAGGGGCAGTGACTACTGGTACTATTGACATGTTTTATGCTGACCTAGGATAGAAATGAACTACTTAAGGCCAAGTATCTCATTCGCTGTTGTGCCCCCAAGACACTGTTTAGTCTTTAATTAATTAATAAATACACTGTAAGTATTCAGAATTTGCTGAGTTCAATTTTTAGGTGGAACAACTTTACCCAATAAGCAAAACTTGAGAGATAAAGAAGCATTCTCCAACAAGACAGTAACAACATATCCATTCAACAACAAGGCCCAAAGTTTCAATTTTAGTAGATTTTAAAAATCCTCAGGGATTAAATAAAAAGTAAGTCTAAACGACAGCCACAAGAAATTAAAATTAGTAATAACTATATCTAGATTCAGATAAAAGATATGGCTGGTACAGAGAAGTAGTTTAGAAAAGCATTTAAGTGAAATGGCTTGAGGATAGAAGAGCATGGGCTAGCAAACCGACAAAGCATTGAATGAGTCCTCGTTCCATTAAGCAGTTGCTATGACTTATGTGAACTGTTTCTTTTCTCATAGCCTTGGTCTCCTTCTCTGTGAAATGGTGAAAACATGTGGGTTGTTTTAAGTATTAATAACTGTGTATGCTTAGCCTCAAGGAACTCTGTATATAGATACGTTGTTATTCGCATAATCAACTGGATAGAAGGAAGGACAGTATTCCATGCTTACAAGCCATGGACTAGATTCCCTATGTGAATAAAGAGGAGGAAAAGAAATTTAAGACATGTGGACCAAGAAGGGTAGATGACCTTTCTTAAAGTGGTTATATATGACTTAGATGTGAAACACTAAACCAAAATGATATAATTTTGACAATGAGCAAGCAAGAAAAGTTAATTGCTACTCACTTCATATTACTGATGTTTGGAGTGAGTTTTTTCAAGTTCCATCTGTCAGCTTGTTACTTAAACAATATCTTTTTTCTTTTTTTAATTTATTCATTTTTTATTAATTACAGTCTATTCACTTTGTATCCCAGCTGTAGCTCCCTCCCTTCTTAAACTGTATCTTGAAGCATCTTCTAGATAATAACATTTTTATCATAAAAAGTTAAAACATATAACCAAGGAGACAGAACTTATCACTAGATTTTAGTGAAAGGAAAAGCTCCCTAAAACTTTTATTGCCTTGATATCTCAGTGCCTAGCCACAGAGCTTCCTGTAATTTTACAAGACTACTCTTTGCAATTCTTGTTCCTACATCAACCTGTGTGTTGTTTAGTGTCGAATGACACCTCAACAGAGCCTGCATTCACTGGAGATGAGCCCTTGGGCATGCTCTGAGATGGAGAGGCTAATGGGTGTGGAAAGGTCCATCTTAACAGGCAGGGCCATCCCACACTGCGAAGCGGGGAAGCAGCCTTCTCTGGTCTTGTTACTATGGTATGATGTGACCTGATGCTTGCTTCAAGCTCCTGGTGGCTTGTCTTTCCTGCCACAGACTAACTGTGAGCCAAATAACCTCTTTCTCCCTTAGGTTGCTTTATTACAACAACACGAAGAAAAACTAAGACAGTCTTCTTTGAAGGACTTCTAGCAGCAAAACTCATGCAATCTATGCCTTGACAGAACAGGATCTGCATCACATCCTATTCCTTTGGGCACCATGTTTACTTCTTACACAGACTTACTACACTTTTCACTATGAAATTTTCATTACATTCTGTCTGACTACAGCCACATTCTCTGCCATGCTCATTACTCCTCTCAGCCAGCCATACTTTCCTGTAAACAGCCATGTCTGGTAAACATAATTCTTACTGCATGTTGTAGCATGACCTATGGCATTTTGGATAGGCACTGTGTCTACTGATGACAGCACTCAACATGCTAGCAGTCAGATCAGTTACTGGTGTAGTCATGAAAATGCTACCCAGCACTATAACTAGTCGACTGCTTTTCCTATGAAAATTACAGATGACTAATAGTGGAACAAACATTCATGAAGCAAAAGAAAATAAAGCCTATCTGCAAAGCAAAACTCAACACAACCTATTTCTTAGGCTCCTTTAATATCATACAGCAGCACACTAGCTTAGATATGTCTAAAAGCATGTACATTTAAAGATGATAAATAATATTGTGAAACTGAAACATGGCTCAATGACTTCCATGACAGCCTCTTTTCTAAGAAGGAAAGGGAGCTTATAATAAAATTGACTTTGCTGTTTGGCAGTGTGATTATAAGCATATATGTAGTTACGTATCTGGAGAATAGTCATGTTGCAAAGAAGAGAGAAAGTCAGATATCTTTTTTTTTTTCACTTTTCCCAATACACTGTTTTAAAAGCCTGTGTATAAATTCTTAGCTTCTACTTGAAAGATACTTTGAAAGGCTTTATAAGATCTCATTTGCATGCAAAGTTATTCTTATTTTACAAATATTCCTTATTTAATAATTTTAAAGGAAAAATCTATGGGTGATTTGTCTTCTGACTAAAGCACAACACTGGAGACATCATATCCTAGAGATGATGAACATCCAGCTCTATCACATTTGCAAACAAACCAAGTTTCCTACATTCCAGTGGCTTAACACCAGGAAGGAGTTTCAGGTTTCAGGCAAAAATGACAGCCAGCTCCAGCCAGGTGTGCTTACATGGGAATCCCACTAGTATTTGGAAGACTGAGAAAACATTACCACTTTTAAGGCCAGCCAAGGCTGCAAAGTAAGACTGATTTAAGAAAACTGAAGCCAGGCCTAGAGAGGCAGATTCGTTTACACAATGCTTGCTGCACAAACATAGCGCCCAGAGTTTCATCTCCAGAACTACACCAAGGGCTGGAGGCAGTACTGTGCACTTGTCACCCAGAGGTGGGAAGCACACAGGTCCTTGAGGCTCACTGGCCAGCCAGGCCCAACCTGCTACTTGGCAAGCTCCAGGTTAGTGAGACACCCTGTCTCAAAAACAAGGTAGACAGTTCCTGAGATAGACCTTTGGCCCACACAAACACAGGCCAACATTTATTATTTTGGTCTTTTGTTTTATTATTATTATTATTATTATTATTATTATTATTATTATTATTATTATTATTATATAGCTCAGGTTGCATTTGAATTCAGTATTTTTCTGTCTCACCTTCCCAAATGCTGGTATATACAACCATGCCTGGCTGGCTCTCTAACTTTTCTCCCCCTTTGGTGTTTTTGTTTGTTTGTTATGTGTGTTATGTGTGTGTGCCTGCAATGTCCACAGAAACCAGAAGACAGCATGAGGTCCTCTAGAGCTGAGTTACAGACACTTACGAGCTTGCTCAGAACTGTAAGAGCAGAGGTATGTTTTTCCTACTGAGCTATCTCTTCACCCCTTTCTTTAATTAGATGAACAAAATTCATTTCTAACTGAGAATAAAATAGAGACATCAGATATTTAATTCAATTACCATTAATCCATCTACCTATGTACTTTTAAAATGATAAACTATTAAAAATAATTTTAAAATATTTTTAAAAGAATCCTCCCCCCTTTTTTTGCACCTCAGTTTTGAGCAAGAATACATCCAAAGGACATGGTGGGTCAAAGCTGCTATGAGGAAAATGTCAAATTTCTTTGGATAGACCTTCACCAAATACCATTATTTCCTATGGCAGCACAAGGATAGTAACAGTGAACAGTTCTGCGATACAGTTGCACAAACTAACTTCATTTAGCATGACACAACTGGAAGACAGACAATCAGAAAGCCAGCCAGTGTTAGAGCAGCTTTTAACAAGATGTAATCCAGTGAGCCAATCTAGTATTCTGAGCCTTCCTATTTCAAACAAAAAACAAAAATGCTTTTAGTGTTTTAAAGAAGGATCCATGACTCCCGCATCACAGGATCACAAGTGTGTATCTGATTCTTTTAAAAGAACTTACAAAAGCGAAAGCATCTTCCATAGGAAACTTAACATTAAAGATTCCAGGAAGCAAATCAACTGGGCCTTCACCTCCCGGCTGATTGATAGTCACTGCATTCTGATTTTAGAGACAGGGTATTACTGTGTTGCTTACAGCAGCCTTGTGTTAAGGTTCAGCCTGTCATTGGACAGTGGGTGCACACACTCAGACCCAGCTGAAAAATGCAGGGTTCATTGTTTTTCAGAGATGGAATCTCAAGTTTGTAGCATAGGCTGACCTTGAACTCAAGAGCCTCTGGTCTCAGTCTACCAACTAACTGGGATTACAGGTGTATGCCATGGCGTTGGCTCCAACTGAATTGACACAAAAGCCTTCACTTGAAATTTAAAAACCAGGGCCTAGAGTGATGGCTCAGTGGTGAAGAATAATGGCTGCTCTTCCAGAGGGCCCAGGTTTGAGTCCCAGACTACATGGCAGTTCACAGCTGTTTGTAACTCCAGTTTCAGAGTACCAATACTCTCTTCTGGCCTCTGCAAGCACCAGACATACATGTGGCACAGACAAATATGCAGGAAAAACATTCACACACATAAAAATACATTAAAAAAATTAAAACCCAGTAAGCTTTTGCAACCATATACAACTCTACATTAAAAATATGTAAAACAGAAAAATCCCCATTGCTTTCCTTTCCACCTTCATTTTTCTCATCACTGCACAAAAGGCAAGGACTATTTCTTTTGGGCCTCAGGCAATACATTTTTGTAGGACACTGGGAAAGGATTTCTGTCAGAAGCTTGGTTTTGAGAAAGGACATGAAAGCTGGGCTGTTTTTGTGACAGTTCAATAAATACAAACAGGGGATACCCTGAGCTTACAAGCACTGAGCTTTGTTCACCTGGTGATTACGCACTGGTATGAGAATGTCTCCCATGCTGTTACTATGACTTCCTTCATACTCATCTGTTCCTGCTTCATCTTGACTAGACAAGCAGTCTTTAGGGAAAGAAGCTACAGCTTGCCCTTTTCTAGCTTAAGAATCTAGCAACTTTAGAAGAAGCTATCCAATGAGTAACTTGTCCCCATCCCTGGCTCCCGACCCCCAACACACCCAGTGCTGTATAGTTCTGTGTCAACTTGACACACACTAAAGTCACCTGAGAAGAGGGAACCTCAATTAAGAAAACGTTTCCTTAAGATTGGCTTATAGGAAAGCCTGTAGGGCATTTTCTTAATAGTGGTTGATGGGGGAGGGCCCAGCCCATTGTGTGTAGTCCCATCCCTGGGCTGGTAGTCCTGGGTTCTATAAAAAAGCAGGCTGAGCAAGCCATGGAAAGCAAGCCAGTAAGCAGTACCCCTCCATGGCTTCTGCATCAGCTCCTGCCTCCAGGTTCCTTCTCTGAGTTCCTGTCCTGACTTCCCTCAGTGATGGACTACAATGCAGAACTATGGGCCAAATAAACCCATTCCTCCCCAACTTTCTCTTGGTCATGGTGTTTTATCACAGCAACAGAAACCCTACCTAGATTACCCAAGAAGAATGTGAGCAACTGAAAAATGAAAACTTCCTCACAGAATATACACCATAACATAAACAACAAGTACTCTACAAAAACCCAAATAATTATGTCTGCCATTCACTGAATATGTCGTCTGGAAAATATAGTAAGAGTGGAAAAGCTTGAAACTTTCTGAAAGAAAATTAGGCCATCTCTGGATTTCTTAGGTAAAGCGCTCTATAGAACTTGATCTCACAAGTCCTGTTGTATCCCCACTCCTGACATGCTGCACATCATGAGGATAAAGTTCTCACAGGTAGGTTCTCTCTTCTTAGTCAATGAAATTACAAGTATATACTTAAGTTTGAGAAAGTGACTTGGCTAAATATTTTACATGCAGTGTTCTACTTAATTTGTCCTAAAGTCTTTCTACATGTGAAAGACTGGGCACACTGAAAGTAAAATACCAAACATCACAAACAGCAGAATCCAAGCACTGAAAGGAGCCCTAAAGTTACCCAGTTGAATGTTCATGTTATGTTGACTGCTGACAGAGACAGTAGCTCAGACACACTACTGTCACTCTGCTCACAGTACAGCAGGCATACATTTTTAGATGTCCATCTCATGCTTGCCTTCCAGTGGAGAAACTCTGGTTCTGGTTCTAAAGACAAATCTACCACCTCCTCACCAAACGATGTGAAGATAGCCAGCAGCCCTGAGATACTTCCAACAGCCTTAACTGGCAACAACAGGAGTTTTACTGCTGCCTACTGAGTATGAAAAACAAATGCACCCTTAGTAGTCCAGCTTCAGTTTTAGCGCATTAGGACACTGCTGCTCTGTTCCTGCTACAGTGGAGTGGACTTTCTCCTGGGAATTCTCTTAGCTTTCCTCATCAGACCTAACAGAGGGGCAGGTGGTCTACCAACTTCATTTCTACTGGCAAAGCTAAAACAAGGAACCAAAGAAATGGTTTCTGCTCTTGACTTTTACTCTGGTACTAAATATTAAACATTCTGCAGAAGTCGAGAGAGAAAGCAATTGATTAAAAAGTATCTAGCTTTGAGTTGCCACTGCAGAGTATACTTCAAATTAATTCATTAAGGCTTTTTTAAACCACTAATGATCATTAGGCCTACATTTACCTGATCTTTATGAAGCTACAGTCTAGCTTTTGCTTTGTTCACAAAGTTCTCTAATCCTAAATTAAAGCCTCATTAATTGCAATTATAAGAGCTCCAACTTTTCAACACTTTTTTTTTAACCAAGAAAGAAACTGGCTGGTAGTGGTAATAAGGTAAAAAGTATGTTTATTTCTATTTAAGTCTTTAATATTTTAGTAGCTGCTTTAAAAACTCAGATTACTTTAAAGTAGCTATAAACATATATAAGAAAATAATTTCCTTAATATTCTTGGCTTTAACTTTATGTGAAGAGACAGCTAATGATAACTTCCCCTAAAAAAATAAATAAATAAACAAAAACCTGGAGCAATTAAGAAATGCCTACAGAGCCGTGAAAGGCTTCGGCAGGTAAAGGTGCTTCCAGCCATGCCTCAGGACTTGAGTTTTATCCTTGGGAATAATATGGTAAGAAGAGAGTAATTGATCCTCTGACTGTCACATGTGTGCATGTATGTACATACACAATAAATAAATAAAATAAAAAATTATTAAAAAAACAACTTTCACATGACTAGAAATAGTATTTTGCTACTTTATTATGCTATTTTGTTATGGAATTCGGAATTGATAAAGCTTAACAGCATTACCTTTTTGGCACTTTCAGGACCTGATTCATCAAATCGAAATCTGACAATTCGGAAATCTTTGCAATAAATAATTAATTCCGTTGGATTGAATTTCAGCTTCTGGTTGGGACCTAGGACTTTCTGTTTCCTCTTATGGTCATTCACTGAAGAAAAAAAAAAAATAGAAAAAAAATGTGACAAAGTTCTTCCCTGGTGCTCCTTAACATTCTTAAATGGGCTTCCCAGCAGAAATCAGCACCAAACCACCATTGCCAGAGTGGACCCCATTGCTGAGTGCTACTTCTTGTCATATCTGCCTATGGCTCCTAGACCTTTGGAGGGTCATCTCTGACTTTGATTGTGGAGATATTTTAGAGGATCTTTACAGTGATACACTTAATGACTTTTAATTAAAAAGAAAAAAAAACAGTTTATAAACTAAAAAAAAATCATATTTCCATTTTACAAAAATTTCTTGACTTCTTTGTTGAGTTCTTGAGACTTAAAAAGGAATAAATGTAAAAGTAAGTCTACAGAAATAAAATTCCAACTCAAATATTTGAGACTGTGGCCCTTTAAAGAATAGTTCTGGATTTCCATCAACTTTTAGAGACCCATTCCACGGATGAGATCATTCCCAACCATGAAATGATCTCACTCTGCTTCTCAGGCCAGCCTTGAGCTCTGGGACTCAAGTGATCCTTCTGCCTCAGCCTTCCTGGGAGCTGAGGCTAGCCTATAAGTGTAGCTATCACATGTAGCTTCAATTTTTAGAGAGAGCACAGGCAGATTACCACATACCTGTGACAATCTGCTCAATACATGTCAAAGGGACATCATGTTCTCCAAGAAGAAGGTTTCTATAATGGAATTTCTGCAATAAAAAATGATATTTATGTGAATCCTTTTCTCAATACCATCAAAATAGTAAAAACAAGCCTTACATTTGATGTGATAAGAAACTCAGTATACTATTGCCAAGGAGCACTAATATCTTTGCTGTGCAACAAGAGCCACTCAAAGAAAAGGGCCTCTTACAGCACACAGTAGGAAGCAGAGGTAGAAGGACGTCTGTTTTGTTTTTTGAGACAGGGTTTCACTAGGTAGCCCAGGCTGGCTTGTAACTCCTGAGAACTCTTTGGTCTTAGCTACTTGAGGATTACAGGCATAGGTCACCACACCTAGCTCCCACACTTTTACTCTAACAAATGGAAATTAAAATATATACCACCATGTTACTATAATAGCTGAAGATGTAATATGATCAGTTACTCTATAGGCAAACAAGTGCATGCCTAGTTCTATGTGAATTAGCCACAAAATAATAAAAAAGGGGGGGGCTCTTAGGTCATCAGACTTTAAGGAGTAAAATCATAGCTGATTTTAATAACAGAGTTAGCGTGGGAAATGACTAGCTAGAGATAATGACTACTACAATTTTTTTTAAAGGTTTGTTTTTGTTTTGAGATAGGGTCTGCTCAGGTTCACCTTAGAAAGGTTATTCTTCTGCCTCAGGTTTCCAAGTACAACCTTAGAAAAAGCTTTGGAGCTGGAGATGTAGCTAGAAGTCCTGAGTTTGATTCCCAGCACCTCATAATATTCTGGCAAAGTGGAACACATCTGCAATCCCAAAACTCAGGAGGTAGAGGCAAAAGGATCAGAAGCTCAAGGTCACTCTCAACTGCACATGGAGTGTGAAGCCAGCCTGGGTTACATGAAACCCTACACCTCCAACCAGGTACCTCCTGATCATTTTCAAACTGAAACCCAGCTGTCATACTAACCGCTGTCAGCAGGGCTCTGGTTATCACTGCTCCTGGATTTAACTGACTCCAGGGATAGGTTTCCCTGATCAGTGAAGGAAGTCTAGGGCCAGAGATCATTCAAGGAAGCCAAAAGCAAAGGGAAAACCCAGGTCCACAGCAGATGAGCTAGTCTCCCTGCATACCAAAAGCATTGTTAATGCTTTTGAACTTAATCTAAATATAATTCAGGAGATTAACACATACATGAATATACAGAAAATATTTAAAAAATTAGTGAATGACTACATGAAATAAAATGTACTTACACACAGATCACTCAAAGAAATGCTTGGGTTGTTAAAAAAAAAATTTTGTCAAAATTTTTGTACTCTCACAATTCACTAGAAAGTAGAATTCAAGTTTCTGGGGAAAAGAGCTAATTAGTTTAAAAAATAAGAAAACAAATCAACAAAATGTTCACCATTCATAATAATATATGCCAAATACTTGAGTTTTTCTCTTCATTATTAGTCAAAAAGAATGGCTGTTTTTATAAATACATTTCTAAAACTGAAGGAAAGAAAATAACTCCCTTATTGAAAAAGATATAATCAGTAATCCCAGATGATAAATAAAGCCGAGTGACTTGAAATCATCTCACTAAGCCTAGTATGAGGTGTAATCAAGTACTTGGGGGACAGAGGCAGGAAGACCGAGAGTTCTAAGCCATCGTGAGCTCTACAATGAAACGCTGTGGACTGGGGATGTAGCTCCAAAAGAAAACAAAACGGCAATCACAAACCACTCACTCTATTCCTCAAGCAAGTTGTGACATTCTCCTTCACTGGATTTTGATTTCTTAAAATTATTTTTATTAGTTCTTTGAGAATTTTGTACAATATATTTTGATCATATTCATCCCTCCTTCGACTCCTCCCAAATCCATCACCCCTTCCCTACCCACACAAATTCATGTCCTTTTGCTTGGTCTATCAGTTCCATTTTTATAAAGTATATTTCCAACATTAATGATTTGTTGGTAACTCTTAACAATTCCCATGTCAATTATTTATATAACAATATATTCTGCTTATAGTTAAAGCCTTAAAATAAGTAAATAATACACAAATACCTGTAATGGCATTGGGTCATCTGTAATAAAGGAAATTTTGAAGTTACTGCACATCAACTTTCCCCATAGGTCATACTGGCTTGTGTCTGTTGCGATGCATTTTCTCACAAAATTTACTTCATTTACAACAATTTCTCCTAAAAGAAAAATAAAAGTTACAGTGAGCTACAAATAAACCAAACAAACCCCAAAAGCCCTGTGTGACCTTGCCACCAGAGGAGTTCATGGACTGGTGGTGTCTGAAACAATGACTCCTGCCATTTGTGTGCACTGGGAGTTCTTTGTGTCCCTAATGGTATAGTCCAGAATGAAGCCCAAACAGCTTTGGGGTCTGAGCTGACTGAATCAGAAAGGTTGGCTTCAGCCCTGCGCTTTGCTGCTGCTCTACTGCCTCTAGTTAGCCAGCTTCAAAGGTGTTCCTGAGAGATTTGTGATGGAATGTCTGTGCTTTATTAAGATGAGACGCACACTAACAATCATGTCTTTGATCATTTTGTAAGGGATGAAAACCAGCACCCAGTTTTATCTGCCTTAAAGTATACTTCATAAAACCTTTGCACTCAAATTGTAACAGATAAACAATAAAACTTTAAAATAAAGTTTGAGTTAAAAAGGAAGACTGGAAAAACAAATATTACAAACCTAAACAAGAGCTCTCATATGCTTTTGAAATGGGTAATTTCTTGAAAAGGTATTTAAAACTTAATCATCATTTTAAGATCTACAATGCAATTAGACAAGGCACATGATAAGCTATCAGTCTCTTTGGTCAATGGCAGAAAGCTAGAATACAATCTATTCTGCACTTTCCATTATTAAGAAACTGTTTTCATGGTGACGACTAGAACCTGTTTGCTGACAATCCCCAAACACCTAATTATGAAGAATGGAACTTTAGTCTCAAAACAATCCTCTCTAACAAAAATGCTAACAATAAACTGCGTGATGATGAATAAATTTTAGTCAAAACTCTTAAAAATTCATAAGGCTAATTTTAAGATGAGCTGCTAATATTTACTTGAGGATTTAATTCATATGCTCATGTCAAATTCCTGGCTCAAATCACTTCAGAAAATTTCCATTCTGAATACAAGCTTCCTTCACACGGCTTGAGGGACTGAATGCCAAGTCCTGCTCAGCTGTCTTCCTCAGCCTCCTGCTCCAGCCACAATGGCCTTCTATGAACCCCTTTTATATACCACACTGCTTCCATTTATGGGTCTTTGAACATGCTCCTGTCTTGGAAGATTCTTTCTTTCAGACAGTGCCTGCACTAAAGAATGCCTTACAATAAATCTTCCTGCCTAGATTAAATTTCTCTTATCATAGCACCATATACTCGTAATTAATTTCGCTGCTCATTGCAGCTACAACTTGACACACGTTTCCTTTTTTGCTTGCTTCATAGTGAGGATTATATATCCAATGATGGTAGAAAACAGACCTTTGTTGAAACGTCAGTCATAGAACAGTATCAAATACATGTTAGATGGTTGCTAAAAAAAAAAAGTGCTGAAAAAAAGAATGAAATCAACTCAAAGGCTCTGGTTTACTGAAAATAAATAAAACCATTGATCTGAGTGGATAAACAAAGCAAATCATGATCCCACTAAATCAGATGTGGCAGTGGAACCCAGAACTTAGGAGGCAGAGGCAGCAGGACCCCATAGTTCAAGACCAGCCCAAGTACACAGTAAGACTCTGTCCCCAAAAAGCAAACACTGGGGATGTGGCTAGGTGTTAGAGCATGTACAAAGGCCCTAGGTTAGAGCAACAACAAAACAAACCAACAAATAAACCTCCAAACTCACTAACTCTATTCCTCTAGTAAGCCCAACATTCTTTCTAGCTTATTTTAATGTGAGTAGGGGACATTCTCAGCAGATAACCAGTAGCAGTGGAACTTGAGCTGCTCTAAGCAGAGTGAAACCAGTGATTCAGTCTGGTCAAGCAGCCAGTTGAGTTGAAAGAGGACTGTGTGGGTACGCAAAGGCAGAATGTAATCACAGAACTGCCACGGATGCCCCCAACACACAGAGAACAGTGTAATCTAGGATTGGTGGCTTCTCAACGCTTATCCTGATTCTCAAGACAGTCTCTATCAGAGGAGGGCAGATGTTTTCTCTACTACAGAGATAAGGGAGTGAGCACCAGAAAGGCTAAATCACTTCCACACTCGTAAGACTTTAAAAACAGAAATAAATGTGGAACTTATCAAGTGGAATCGGCGCCCATAGGGTCTGTAATCCCAGGTCTCAAGGACATACACTTTCTTATATACAAAGCAGGGCACTGCACACAATTTAGTCTTTAAAGCATCTCAGATGACTTGGAGTACCTAATACAATGTATTCAAGGAATATGGACAGGAACAAAACTCTGTGCATGTTCAGTTCATGATTTTGGAAGATTTGCCATCAAGAGTTGGCTGACTCCAAAGATGTGGAACCCAGCCACAAAAGACTTCTGTCCTTGTTTCTACAAACTTTCACAAACGTACATGTGTTGTAGTGACACGGAACAAGTATCAGCATTGAATTAAAGACTCACAGTGTTGCTCCAAACTGCATGCTAATGAGAAACAAATGAAATTTTCTACAGCATCATCCACAGAGAGTTTACCAATTGCCCTATCACAATCTGGGCTACTTAATAGTCAATGTCTTTCCATAGTCTTAGTTATTAGACTTAAATAACTGGACTAATTATTACCCCTACAAACAGAAAGCACATTCCTGTAACTCATTCTGCTTACCTCATATTGTACTATCCCCCAACCAATTTACCTGAAATAGGACTCTCAAAACAATGCTACAGAAAGTCAAGAGCTGAACCATTTATGATTCATTCATACTTGTATGTATGTTACACTCAAATAAAAAAGAAGTGAGGAGTTAGTGTGTGCTGCTGAGGTACTGTAGCAGGAGTGTGAGAAATGGACAGCTGCAAACATGTGAAGGCTCCGGATGACTGCTCCAGCCTAATGCTCCAGTACTGTAGCTGGTTACATCTTCCTCAGCTCCAATGGCATGACACCAGTCCTATGATCTTTTGAGACAGTGTATCTGTGAATTCAAATGCTAAAAAACTCAGCCTAAATCATCTGGGTAGCCATCTTCAAATGGGTATTACATGAGCTCTTTAAAAGACAGTTTTGTTTTCTGGTTTTCAAGAGAGTAACTTCCAACCCAACTGAGAAAATGAGACTTAGAGTGAGGCAGAAAACAAGAAAAATAGCAAAATGTCACAAACAATGCATATGTAAAACATAAAGTATGACAGCTATACATGATGGCTAGTCTCATCTTCCAGATGCATCCTTCCCTGATCTGACTACAAGAGACCTGGTAATTTGGGCATTTGTTATCAGCCTACTAGCTAATCTCTATAACTGAAGTGCTGTTGGTTTTGTACTTGGGAAAGGGAAGAATGAACTGAGCTGACACAGGGCTTCCAGAACAGTGGCCCAGGCTTAGCTGACACTCAAAAATCACATGACAAACATTTCCTGAGAAGGCTTTTGCTGACACTCCCTGATAAGTCCCAAATCTGACTTAGGTGACTATCCTAAGCCCTCACGGCCTTTGTTATCCTCTACTATAGCACATCCCCCAAGAACAGAAATTGTATAAGGACAGAATCTGCACCACACCACACCACACCACACCACACCACACCACACCACACCACACCACCACCTTCCCAAAACAACAACAACAACAAAAACCTCTGCCAAACACACTGGGCATACATTCCATACCTGCTGAACAAAGCAATCCATTACAGTTAGTCATAGCATTTCGATCTTGTCCCTCCCACCTCCAGGATCCTCAGGGAGGGTAGAGAGCAAAGGTCCTCAAGCCTTACTGCAAATTTTACATCCTAATCACAAAGCTGCTGGCACTCTACAAGCCACTCCTCAGCAATGCCAGCAACAGGAAATCACTACCTCTTAAGACATTCCACTTTTAGGCAGCTGAAATTGAAAGTTCTTCCTCAAGCTGGGTCAAAATCTGTCAGTGTTGTGAAAAAAGCAGAGCCAAAAACATGACTACTAGAGAATTGTCACTAGAGAATTTTCTCTTGCCTAACATTCAACCTGCCCTCCACAGTTGCAAAGCATAAATCTGTCCGTGAAAGCCACCAACGCACCTAGGGGAGCTGTGCTGTTTGGTGGCTAGCACACATGGGAGCCAGGCACAGAAGCCCCCTCTACCTTTGCAGGCTCTGCGACACTGGGTGGCTTCCGAGTTCTTGCTAGTTCTCTCACCTGTCAAATGAGGACAAATTAGTATCTTGTCTGACAGGACTGTTGTGAGGAATGACCTATGAGGTATATCAGCCAAGGATGTGAGCTCAGGTGTCAAAAGCATGCCTGGAACCAGGTTAAGCAAAAAGGAAATTCTGTAGCTTTGTGTTAGCTGGGAATCAAGGACAATAGAACCCAGAGGCGTGAACACTGCCATCTTATCCCCTCGGTGCTCTTTATTAGTTAAGCACTGGTTTGCTGGAATTGCAGTACAGGTAGTGCCATCAAATGCCTTCCTTAACATGAACTTGGACATATCTGGAAGCAGAGCTGTGCTGTGATGATCCAACCATGGCTAGGTAGAGGAGGAGTCTGTTTTCACAGATGATGGGAGGACACCCACACAGACAAACCGGTCATCTCTGCATGGTGCCCACTAAACTGTACTGACAATAATCTCATCCTGCAGCTTCCATTTTACATTCCAAACCATGTCTATACATAAAAGACATTTAGGGGACAAAATAAAGTTCCTAACTTTGTATTTTGCCAACTTAAAATGTTTTACTTAGCAAAAGAATATATCCTACATCAAAGAAGTGAGCTGATTATCTCAGTACAACAATTTATAACTCAAATAATATCAACCTTATAAGAGAAAGCTCCATCTTCCTGGCTTTCCTTTTACCATGGCCTAGCAAAACAATACTTCAGGCTGAGCACAATGGCTTAGAGTGCCAGCCTTAGGGAGGCAAAGCAGGGGATTATTGAACCCAAGAGTTTGAGTCTAGCCTGGCCAATATTGTTATAATTAATCAGATAGGTAGGTAGGTAGATAGATGGATGGATAGATAGATAGATAGATAGATAGATAGATAGATAGATAGATAAATTGCCCCAAATACCACACAGGAATTTAGGAACCACTTATATCACAACCTCCTACCCATCCAGATAGCATGGAATCCTCTCAGGGCCCTGTTGTGATTCAGAGTCACTACGAAACCTAGTACCCAGGAGGTTCTCATCTGTTCCCATACATAAATAGATACACAGTTACACACTTAAATGTAATACTCTCTGCTTTCTAAAAGCATGAAATGACTGACATGTATATAGGATTGGTGTAACAACCTAATGACAGAGAGAATGCAGGCCCAAATGTTAACTAAGCAGACACAGTGCTTTACTCCAATTACAGCCTCAGATGTAATTCTCTCGAGATGTCTAGCATGAAATAGCAGTGTTTCTCTTGCTCCTAAATCCAGGAGTTTAAGCAGGGTGGGGTCCTTTTTCATTCACTCAGTGAGACCTCAGTGTCACATTTCAGGCACCTTGTAAGATATCACGGGATTTGATACACTGATGATATTTCATACAATCCCCATCTCAAAGAGCTTCATGAACCAGGAAAGTTGAAAAGTACTAACATAAACCAGAATCTGAATTAAATTACTCGTCATTTTCTTCAATTTTCCTTAATAAACGATAGGGATCATTTTAAACTTGGCATTAAGTCCTAACAGAACACATGATCAAGGCATACAAATAAACAATTGATTTTGTGTTCTAACTTTCATCTGCTTATTGAATTAAAAGTTCAAACTTCGGGCAACTGAAGTAGGATATCCTTGGGCCGAAGGCAGTAAGCCAAGGCATGGCGTGCGATACCATATCATTGAACAATCACTTCTTGTTCTGTGTGCCCGGGTAAAGAAAGCCACAGGTGACTTGGGTAAATTTCCTCTTGTCCTCTGACTGCAGTGAAAGCCAGAACTGTCTTAGTAAAGCCCTCAGTAAAAAGTGCTGTTTTAGCTTAGGTCTTTACGGTATGTTCACCGTCGTTTTTGTGGTGGTGGGGATCAAATCCAGGGACTTGTGCATACTAAGCATGTTAAGCACATACTCTGCCATAAGCTACCACCCTCGTCTAGGTTTTCAGATGACAAGACTTTCTACTTGTTTTCCATATTACGTGTGGAGAGTTCCATGTTGTAAGTAGAAAGAGTATAACACGGGCTCTAACAGCATTTACAGATTTGACACTTAGGGTAAGGCAGGAAAAAGAGACCACAATGGATGCTCAGCCAAAATACAACCTCAAAGAGAATAGGAAAATAAGCATAAGAGGGTAAGAAGAGCAGAGGTCAGGAAAGGGGCAAGAGTCTAAAATTCAGGATCAGATCAGTGTATAAGGGTAAGTGAGGAGCAAAGAGAACCTGGATATCAGTGTTATCATTCATGCAACTACAGAGATTACATGTGACACGTTTCCTGCAAGAAAAATTAATACAGTTAAGGAAGTTTCTTAACAGGCAATTGAGAAGACAGTGTTACTTCTAGGAAAAGTATACTAACCACAGACAGGAACTGGGGTTAAAAATCTTCTCCAGAATTTTTGTTTGTTTGTTTAGTAATTTTAATGCCTAATTGTTCACTAAGAAAATTTTTTAACCATATTCATACACACTTTCACTTTTTCTAAGCATATCTTAAGTTTAAAAGCTAATTAAAAAAAAAAACAAGACATGACCAATGTAAGACTACAATGTTTTCAATGTCAAAGCCTGGAATGACTGAGGAGGGGACTGGCTGTCTAAGAACCAGGCCAATTCAAAGTAAAGGCAAAGTTCAACAGCTTACAGACACTTAGTCAGCGTGTGGACTGTTCCCCTGGCTGTTTTTAAAATGCCTACAGTGGCGAGTGCCAGCAGGGAGCATGCATAGCGAGCAGGGATCCTCAGGACTGCTCACTCTCAAGGCTAGCAGAGAGGGCTCATTAGTAAACACTGAGTAAAAGACACTAACAAAATCTGGGAAAATATAACTATAATAAAAAAGTAAAAAAAAACCCAAACTTTTAGGAGTTGATGTCTACCATTCAGAACCAAAGGCTGATGCTTTGTTTATCCCTACATTTTATTCCTACATCCCTAACTGTTTATTACTACATTTTTACATTTCCACATTTGTTAGGCAGCTATCGACAAAGTCTTAACTATCTTATTTAAGTAGTGATTTTGAGATAACAAACTGGTATATATGCGTACACACATACACACATATATATGATCATAGTTTAAAGTTAAGATAGGTAGGCCTTTCTACATGTCTGGCAATTTGACCCCATAATCTTATTAAACAACTTATTTTTCTTTAATTATTGTGTAAAGGTTACACAATTCAAAATAGCAATCAAATAATAGTTTTTCTACACTGTAAAACGCTGCTATGAATGCCTACTTCTATTTCTAAGGTCTCCATCTAAGGTAAATTTGTTCTTAACAAGTGATTCTCAGTCTGAGGATGACCCTAACACAGAGAGAGAGAGAGAGAGAGAGAGAGAGAGAGAGAGAGAGAGAGATAGGGAAATGCCTGGAGACATTCGGTTGTGCTGAGAACATGACAGCTAGTTAGCAGGAGATGGGGCACGGCTGTCACCAAACAGAGGCCAAAGAGGTAGGGATGGCTGTCAGCTAGGGACAGCTCCTCACACAACAAAGAATTGCCCAGACGGAAAGGTCAATAGTGCCTCTACTGGGAAACAAAGTTCTAAATTGAAACAGGCAAATTCGCCGATAGCTGACAACTTCAAAAAACAGTTACAGAGTAGTTCAACGTCTGCCAAGCCTTGCCATTAGCTTAGGGACACAGGCATGCTTTTCATACTATCAAAAATACATTAAAATGACGATTTGATTATTGATCAAGAATTCACTAGGTGCTAAAACACACATAGGGCAAAAAACTTTCAGTACCTAGGCAATTCAAAACTAACATTTCAGAAGACAGAAATGAAGTGGTTATGCTCTTGAAAGTCTTCCACTGTACTTTAAACTTTCCGAGACAAACATTAATTATGTCTGGCTAACTGTTTATCTTCTCACTTCTTAAGTTTTTTAACTGGAGAAAGTTTAAAACAATAAGAGAAAGTTAACCACACAAACAAATATTAGTCCGTGCAATCTCAGTCCAAAACATATTAGAATTCTGAAATTTACCTGGCAAAAGGACTGGCTCCAGTTTTTTAATCTTCGGTTCGGAACTGATCTTATCGTCAGTCTGAAATACATGAACAAAATAAAGCAAAAATTCAAATACCGCCCGTCATAAGATACTAAGGCAAATTTTCTAAGTGATGACACATGCGACAGACATATATCTCCTACTTAAAACTCAAGTCCGAAACGAGATCGTTTTAAGAGCTACTCATCATCGACTTGAGAGCCTGACAAACATATTTACAAAAGCCCAAGCCACTTTCAAGAGTTCGTAATCACTAGGCAGGTAAGCTCTGCGAAGTGTCCACAACGCTGCGGCCACCTGGCTGTCACAGCAGGGTCGGTGCCAGCCCCCAAGGAAGGAAAGAAATGCAGCTCGGGACTGTCCCTAAGGTCTTGTCACACGGCAGGACTAAGGACAGGAGGACTTCGGCCACAGAATGGCCGCCGCGGAGCTCTACAAGTTTACAGCGCGCCCGAAGCTCCCGGGAGGCGCGCTCGGCCGCGCCGCGTCCAGCTCCCGGGCGGCCCGCGGAGCCGCGAGCGCCGAGCGCTTACCTGGGGTGGCGGCAGGAGGTAGGACCTGAAGCTGGGTCTGGGCGGCTTGAGGGAGAACATGGTGCCGCCGCCTGTGCGCCCCGGCCCTATGGCCGGTCAGACGCCTCCGGGCTCAACGTTCCCGGTGCGGCTGCCCAGGCCGGGTCTGCGGCCCGCCCCGCCGGGCGGACTGACGGGCGGGGACCGACGCGGCGGAGCGCCCGCCCGAGAAGGGCGGGGCCGGGCGGGACCACGCCCATCCCCGGAAGCGGCGCGCGGAGCCGCGACGAAAGCTCCTAGTTCCTAGGCCGCACGGTCGTGGAGCGCGACGCTAAAGCCGGCCGCTGAGGGGCCCCAAGAGGCCATCTTGAGAGCGCGGTTCTACGGTGGCCCGCGTGGGTCACGGCGGCCTTCACTGACCTATTGAGACTCGCGGGGGTCATGACGGCTCTGTGAAGTTGGTGTGGCCTGTGGTGGGGCAGGGTGCGTTTTAGCTGCTGTCTCAGGACCCCAGTTCTCGGGGCATCTGCCATAGCTGCTGCTCCTGAGCTTCGGTTTTGTTGTTAACTTGTTTTGTTTTGTTTTGTTGTGTTTTGTTTTGTTTTGTTCTAAGCTAGAGAAGTGCAGAGACCCCGGGCAACCCGAGGCTTCAAGGTTACAGTTTTCTCTTGAGGGGTGCCCACACTGGAACACCCAGAGATCTAGGCGTCAGAGCACACAGGTTGCATTAACTACTGGTTTCTTTGAGCTACTGAAACTTAGCTTACACTCAGTAGTCAGGACAGATGGCAAACCAGAACCCCCAATTTAGTTTACTGATTTTATTCTTCTCGTTAAACTTGTTAGGTGAAAAGGTATTATTAAGCAAGTTGTCTCTCTCCCCCTTTTCCATCCTCATATATAAAGATGCTGCTGATCAGATAAGTCATCAGAAGCCCGTGAAGAGAAGAACCCAGCGGTGTGGGGACTCAAACCATGGGACAGATGGCGGGGGTGCCTGGTTAACATTAAAGCAGACCTGGCTGCCAGGTTCTCACAGCATCCCTTAGTCCCTACCAAGTTACAGAGTAGGGCTGGCATACCCAGCCCTCAACCCTAAACTCTCCAACCCAGGAACTGGGCTGCCCCTCCTGGAGAGGCTCTTCCCTATACAATCCAGCCATTTTGGTTACCTGCCCCTTTTTTGTTTTGCCCTCTTGGCTCCTGCACCTGGTTCCCCTCTCCCTTCTCCTCCTTGTTCTCCTCACGTGGCTTGGAGTCAAGTCCACTTTGGACTCTCAGATGTCTCTGCCTCAGGCTATGCTCTCCTTTTTATCTATAAACTTCCTCCACCGGACCTAAGAACAGCCATAATTCATTCATTCTTTCTTTCTTTCTTTCTTTCTTTCTTTCTTTCTTTCTTTCTTTCTTTCTTTCTTTCTTTCTT